AGCAAATATTTGAATAATAGTCATATTAATTGGTCTTCCTTGTATGTATATGACTAATATCACTCACAACATTATATATTAGGATAGAACTTGAAATTCTCTTTTTAAAAAAATTGATTTTAATGAACATTTATAGAAATTTTGCATTTCCATTCATTCATTGTTGCACTTTTCTCCCTGCCAACTTGTCCCCTCCAGTTTGCTCCTCTCTTTGAAAAGTAAAAGAAAAATTCTTTCACTGGTATACACTCCCACCTCCCCCTGAGTACATTCCATTATGAAACCTTCATTAGGAACTCTTGTCATAACCATAATATTCAATCATACATGATTTATCCATTTTTTTCTCAGTCTTACCCCAACTATGATGTCAGTCTCATTATACAACAGTGGAACTATGCAGTATTTATCTTTTTTGTGACTGAGATATTTCACTCAGCATAATGTCCTCCAGGGTCACCCATTTTGAATAATATTGCATGAGTTCCTTCTTTTTCAATGCAGCATGGCATTCCACTGTGTGAATATACCACAGCTTCTCTATCCATTCGTTTGTTGATGGGCACTTAGGTTGCTTCCAACTCTTTGCTATTGTGAATAAAGCCTCAATAAACATGGGTGTGCATATATCTTCTTGGGTGGCTGGTATGGTTTCTTTAGAGTATATTCCCAGTAGAGGAATTGCTGGGTGAAATGGTATTTCTATTTGTGACTTTTTGAGAAGGCGCCATACTGCCATCCACAGTGGTTGCACCATTTTACACTCCCACCAACAGTGAATGAGGGTTCCAGTTTCTCCACAACCTCACCAGCATTTGTTGTTTGCTGTTCTGTTGAAGTTTGCTATTCTTACGGAAGTGAGATGATATCTCACAGTTGTTTAATTTACATCTCTCTTAGATCTAGGGATTTTGGACATTTCTTCATGTATTTGTTGGCCACATGAATGTCTTTTTTGGTGAAGTGCCTGTTCATACCCTCTGCACATTTTTCAACTGGATTATTTACCTTTATTGTGTTGTGGTATTTGAGTATTTTATAAATTCTAGATATAAGTCCCTTATCAAACATGCCATTACCCAATATTTTTTCCCAATCTATGACTTTCTTTTTCACTCTGTTGGAGAAGTTTATAGATGTGCATAGGGATTTGATTCTTAGAAGGTCTCATTCATCTATTTTATCCTCTTCTGTTTGTAGATTTTTCTTTAATGAAATGTATAGTCCGTGGTTTTAGTCCTAGGTCCATGACCCATTTTGAGTTGGTTTTAATAGTGACTGCAACCACTCTTATCTTTTGCAAAGCTCTTCCATTTCATCTCTCTAATGCTTAAAATATAGATGTTCATGTGCTCCATTTCAGTTTTCAGTTTCTAGTTGATGTTTCCTGCTATTTTTGTTCATTTTGGTTGACTTCCAGGCTGTATCTCTAATACTACCTCCATTATTTATTATCATAGAGATTAAATAGGTAGGGAGAATGGAGACTGGAGAGTACAATCCTGATACACACCTTTTCTTATTTGAAATCATGAATCATTCTCTCTCTCTCTCTCTCTCTCTCTGTGTGTGTGTGTGTGTGTGTGTGTGTGTGTGTTTTAACTGCTTCTTGGTGTATGTATAGTTTTTGCATAAATTGTATTAAGTATTATGGAAATCCCATCCTTCTCAAAGTTATTCATGATTCATTGTGATCCACAAAGTAGAATGCTTTTGCATAATCTATAAAGCAAACATCTTTCTATAGTATGCTGCTTTCAGCCAATATCCATTTCTTTTGTGTGTGTTTAATTTTTTTTAACTTTTAATTTTCAAAGGGCAGATTAAACCCCCTTCCTAGAAAAGTACCATGATTCAGCAAACTTAAAATATTGCATTATTGTAAACCGTGATATTTCATCCTTGGAGATAACTGATGGAATTGCCAAATGTCCTCCATAAGTGGAAAATGTCTTTCAGGATTGTGGTGGTTGTTTTTTTTTTCTTATTAAATTTTATTAATTTTAATGAACATTTAGAGAGATTTTGGGTTTCTATTTATCCATTGTTGCACTATTTTCTTTACCCTCCCGCCCAGTTCATTCCTCTTTTTTCCCCCCTTGAAAGTCTGTTTTAATTGTCCCATTGCCACAGTGCTTGTCAAAGCCAGTTCTGATTAATCTGCCTTGTCAGTGTGTCCTTTGCCATTCCCTATCACTCTTCCCTGAGAGAGACTTCACCCTGATTCATAAGGAAAAGGGGACAGCATACTCTCTTAGCTACTTCCTGCTGAAAAGGGATGCTGTAGGTTTCAGGTTGAAGATCTTCTTTCACTACTCTAAAGGGCCCCTTGGGCTATAGAAAACATATAGACTATTGTGGATATTGATTTTGGAATTTAGATGCACTCTTATCAATTGTGCTTAGCCGTACATGTTCATATCCTTGAAGATTTATCATGGAAGTGTTACAGACTAGAAGACACAAATTTAACTAACAAGTTAGAAGTACATGAGTCAAAAATTAAAAAGCAATAATATTCCAAGTAGAGGCTCTAATAGTGGCACACATCTAGTTACAGAGGGTAGGTAGTTCTTAAAATAAAAGGGCTATTGACTAGCAATTTGTCTATTATCATATAAAGGTTAGGAACCACAAGATATAGAGGCTCAACTATGTCCTTTATTGTTATTAAGTCCTGGGGCAAATTCCATCTACCACTGGGTTGTTTTACAACTCACAAGTCTGCATACAAGGCACAGGTTAAGTAAGGAACTGCTTTTGAGGTTTTACATCAATTCCAACAACTAAGAAATAGTGAGAAGTGTTGGGACCTCAGAAGGCTTTTAGGACCAAATAGTAGGCTCTTGTGTCCAGGAGAAAACTAATATACTTACCAGTAATGTTAATGCTCCCCCACAGCTCTTTTGGGAGGATTTAAATTGTTGAAGCGTCCTCCTTTGTTTCCAGCTAGGAGCTGTGGCCTGTCAGTCTTGTCAGCCACGAGGACCTGATGTGGGCCACCCTTGGCCAAGAGTCCTTCAGATCCATACTTAAAGCACTTGAGTGGGAGGCCAATATTCATTTCACATCAACAATGAAACATTTTGTACCAAGGGGATCTTCTGGGTACAGCTTGAATTTCTGGAAGTTTCTTATGAATATACAGTTTCAAGGATTTTTATTAATCTATAGTAAGATTTTATTAATCTATAGTAAGTATGTCTAGAGCTGTATCTATTTGATGAAATGGCTCAACTGGTATTTCATAAGTTTCTAGGGCCTAATTTTTCCCCCATGCCTTTAGTGCAACTGGGACTTCTTCCTTCAGTGTCACTTGTTTTTGTTCATATACTACTTCCTGAAATGTTTCAGTGTTGACTAATTCTTCTTGCTATAGTGACTCTGTATATTCTTTCCATCCTTATTTTTTTAATGCTTCCTGAATCATTCAATATTTTGCCCATAGGATCCTTTAGTACAGCTGCTTTTGCATTGTGTTTGTTTTTAAGTACTTTCAGCTTGCAAATGATAAGCATGTTCTTCCCATTTGGTTTCTCAACTCCAGCTCTTTACACATTTTAATACAACACTGTGCTTTGTCTACTTGAGCTATCCTTTCAATTCTTTAACTCTCTTACTCATCATTTATTTGCTTAGTTTTGACTTTTCTAAGAGAAGAGCAAGTTTCGGAGACTTCTAACATATTTTTTCCACTTTATTTCCTTCTTGTCTTTTATTGTTGTTGTTAGGTGCTGTCAAGTTGGGTACAACTCATAGAGACCTTATGAATAAAAGATCTGAACTCTGTGCCATCTTACACATCCTGACATACAAGGATCCATTGCAGCAGTCATTGTGTCAATCTACCTGATTGAAGGTCTTCCTCACTTTCACCAACACCTCACCCTTCCCAGCATATTTTAGTGACCTTTTTGGTTTTTTTCAATGATAATGTCCTTGGTGTTATCCTACAACTAGTTTGGTCTTTAGTCATTAGTGTTCAATGCATCAAATTTATTTTTGACTTTTTTTTAAAATAAGGTTGAATAAACTCAAGATAATATTTACATTCTTATGGACTTGTTTAATTTTTTTACACTTTCAATTTAAGCTTGCTGATGTCCTTTAAAGAGAAAAGCTCTGCTCAAACTTATCCACATTAGGTGACCTTGCTAGTACTTAACATACCAATGACATAACCACTAGAATCACAGAAACAAACAAGCCACTACAGTACAGCAAACTGATATAAAAGTGGTCATAACTACTTGAGGCTTTGTTAATACTTACTGCTGTGATGTAGTTAAGGCAAGTCTGTAAGCAGATCCATAACGATATGTTTAACTTTGTTTGATTCTTGTAAGTTTCTTCAGGGGTGTTGTTTGTATTATATTTATGTTTAGGCTCTCTGACAAGAATGCTAGCAAGTTTTTTGTCAGATTCAGTTGATCTGCAGGAGAAGGATGAGAAATTTCCTTCCATGCTATTCCTTGCCTCTGAAAAATCGCTGGAGAGTAACCTATGAGTCTGTTCCAACATGACAGCAAACAACAACAGCAACAATCTTGACTTATCATCCTCTGAAGCCAGAAGCCTCCAAAGGCAATAACCGGAGACTGTCCACTTGCTGATGACTGTTTCTCCTCAGACCTCTCTCTTGAATCTTGACCTATACATATACAGCTGGGTCCTTCTTGTACAACAATGCGACTCATATCCTTGGGGGAGGGGGAGAGAAAGAAAGAGAGGCAAGGGGGGGGAGAGAGAGAGAGAGAAAATTATGTGTGTGTCTCTTTCTCATATATGCATGGGTCTGATGGGTCTGACATGATGTCACATAACAGCAACAATGCATCTATCTATTTATATCTCATTTACTCATTTGACATTGAATCATAACTGATTCATAGCTGACTGTGATGTAGTGGGTCTCAAAGTCTGACTTCCTTACACCATTGTCTTTACTTTGGACCAGCTGCTTCAACTCTGCCTGCCTTGCAAATAGATAGCCCACTTACATCATCAAAAGCTGCATAAGCCATTTCTTCCTCATGAAAACAGGGCATATTGTCTATATATAAGGTGATTGGCTAGTCTTACTGTTAAATTGAGCAGATTCAGTGGCAAAAAGTGGAATCTCACCACCAAGAGAAGCAGCAGAAGAAAATGCAACATGCATCCTTTAGGTCCAGAGATTCCTGAGCCTAGGGTTATATACTGCTGTTAATGGACGCTTTCTGGACTTAAGGGTTGTGTCTTACTGTTAACCTCCTAATTTCCTTTTGTCCTCATTAATTTAGAGTGATTCCTGATGACAGTTTTCCAAGGCAATACATCTCCTGATGTTCTGACTGCTGGTACTAAGTGTATTGATTGTGGATTCAAGTAAGATGAAGTCATTAATAGTTTCAACATTTTCTCTATTAATCATGATGTTGCCTGTTGGTCTATTGGTGAGAATTTTTGTTTGACATTGAGATGGAATCAACATTGAATACTTTAATAATGTTTGATCTTCTGCAGCAAATGTTTCAATCCCTACTCACTTTCAGAAAAGAAGGTGGTGTTAACTTCTTGAGTAATTTTATCAACATACAGATTGAATAGGTATGGAAAAGGGATTCAGCTCTGACACACACCGTTCTTCACCTTAAACCAAATTATTGAGGACCAATTATGTCAGTCTGAGGATTTATGTGTTCTTGATTCAGACCATGGTCTTTTAAATAATTTCCTATGCTACTGGGAACTGGACAATAAATAAGGATGTTGTTTTTGTTGTTGTTGTTGTTGTTATGTGCTGTCGAGTCACTTGCTACTCATAGCAACCCTATGTACAACAGCCCTAAACCCTGCTCTATCCTCTGCCAATCACACTGCCTCTGACACACCCGTCCGATTACCCCAGTCACTGAATCTATCCACCTCATAGAGGGTCTTCCCCTCCTGCGCTGTCCCTCCACCCTCCCAAGCATGATGTCCCTCTCCAAGGACCTATCCCTCCTTACAACATGTCCAAAGTATGTCAGACAAAGCCCCAGAATCCTTGTCTCCAAGGAGTAGCCCGGTTTAACCCTCACCAGGATGAAATAAGGATGACAGAAGAAAAATTCATACCTTTGAGTTGTGGTACTAGAAAAGAGTATTGACTATTTCATGGACTGCTGAAAGAATTAACAGATATGTCTTGGAGAAGGTATAGGCAGAGTGCTTCTTGGAAGCAAAGATGTTGAAGCTTTATCTTGTATACTTTGGATGTGTTGCTAGGAAAGGTTGTTACTTGAAGGAGGACATCATGTGGGGGGATGGTGAAGGAGTTGAAGAGCCTTGACCAGATGAATTGGCCCAATGACTGCAGCAATGGGCTCGAGTGTGTCAAGATTGTACCATTGGCACAGGATAGGGCAGGTTTCAGGTCTATTGTTCATAGGGTCACTATGAGTCATACTTGATTCGATGACATCTAACAACAACAACATCTTTTGGCTGCAAAAAAAGAAAGTAGATAAAAAGAAAAATCTTCAATAAGGTATATTGATACAGTAATTATAACAATGGCTTTAATCACTACAACAATTGTGAAATGATTAAAGCTAAACAGTGTTTATTTTGTATATTAGAGCACTTTAAGTTGAACTGACTCCTAGATACGAAAAACTAATAACAAGAAAGAAGGAGTATACATATCTGACATTCATTTCTTTACTTAATTAAAAGTAAATAAGTAAGCAATTGAGCTCTGGTGACCTACTGGAAAGAAGCTGTACTGAAATTCCAAAGTCACATAATTCGAATCTACCATCTGCTCCACAGGAGAAGGATGGGCAATATCCTCCCATTTGATTAACCACCTCTGAAAACCCACAGGAGGCTCTTTTGTGAGTCAGATCCAATGCCACTAATAAAAATAGAAAGAAGCTGTGCTGCAATCCCAAAGGCATGTGGTTCAAGGCCACCAGCTGCTTGCAGGAGAAGAATGGGCAATCTCTTCCCATGCGATTAACTGCTTCTGAAAATCCGCCAGAGGGTCAGTAATGGGTTGATTCCAACTCGACAGTACACAACAATAACAACAATCCCCTATATACACACAAAAACACTGTACTATGTCAATTTCAATGTATAATGAACCTATAAAACAGACTAGAACTGGCCTGTGAAGTTTCATGGGTGTAAATCTTTACGGAAGCAAACTGCCTGATCTTTAATTGTGTAGCTGGTAGATTCAAACCACTAACCTTTAACTTAGCAGTCTAATGTTTAGTTCATTGGAAAACCAGAGCTCTTGTTCTTCTCTATTATAACATATGGAAGTTTGGAGTGGGAGGAAATCTTGCTGAGGTTAACTCTAGTTAACTGAGATACTATGTTAATTGTGCTGGGTGGGAAAGGAAAGGAAGAAAGTTGGAGTCATTGACAAAACTCATATATTGCAGTGAATTGTGAAGTCTGCTATCTGCCAATGCCCAACTGAAGAAATCTTAAATTAAAACTAATCTTTTAATCATTTTTTATTGTTGTTTGCCATTGTGTCAATTATAGCTCACAATGACTTCATGTGTGCAGAATACAGCTACTCTATGGAATCAAGCTCTTAAATTTCTGTGATACTCGGACTTCCTTTCATTATTATTATTATTATTATTATTATTATTATTATTGTTGTTGTGTGCTGTGGGGAAGAAACTTACTCATAGCTGATATTCTAGCAGAGTTTCAAAGATTGTACTTTGTAGGGAGGGAGATTGTTCATCTTTCTTATTTCAAATAGCTGATAGATTGAGACTACCTACGTTCAGATTGAAAGGACAACTCTTTTAGGTAAAGAGGTATAGACCTCTAGAGCTCCCATTATAATCAGTTGAGGTCTTGAGGGTATCTTCAGGTATGAAATGAAAAACTTTTACTTTTTTTTTATTAAAAGAGCATGAACTATATCAGGTTCATCTTAATCTTCAAACTGACATAATTTCTCCTCAGAAGTTTGGAGTGGTCTCTGACAGGAGAGTTGCCCCGTGCAATTTGCTTCATTATCTTCTGAATGCTAGCACCAATGGATTGCGGAAAGCAGTAACATGAAATGCTGGTAATTTCAATCTTTTCTCCATTTAACATGATGGTTCTTATTGGTCCAATGTTGAGTTTTCATCTTTTCTAAAAAAAAATTATATTGGTGATTGTTATATATGTGTTTCACACTATCCTTCATTCACATTGTGTTTCATACAATCTCTTCCATTCATAGCATCTTGTAAGCCAATCACTATTGAACTATGTCCACCAGTACTACATCTTTTCAGATTCCAACTAGATCTTTCCCATTCCTTTATCCTCTCCCTCCACCTACCAAATTGTGTGATGTTAGGGTTTCTTTCTGCCCATTCTCACCCCTTTGCTCTGACGTCTTGCCTCCTTTGAGCCTCATACCCATCTAACTAGTTATCTTTCTATTTTAACAATAATACTCTTATGCAGTATTGGTCCTTATGAGACTGAAGTTACTAAGCAGAAAGCTCTCCAATCTCTCTCAAATTATGTAATATTTTTTTAAATTGTTGCTCCTGAATGTCATGTAGTATTTTACCATGTGAATCTACCACACTTTCTCAGTACATTAGATTGTGGTTGGACATTTGGACTGTTTCCATGTTTCATGGTTGAACAATTTGAGTTATTTCCACATTCTTGCAATTGTGAAAAATACTGCTATGAACATTGATGTCCAAAGCTTAGTTTGTGTCTCAATTCTAATTTCCTTGGAGTATATTCCTAGCAATGGGATAACTGGGTCAAATGGAATTTCTGTGTTCAGTTTGTCGGGTTGTTTATATATATATACATATATATATATTTTTAAGGAAATGCCAAACTGCCTTTCAGAGTGGCTGTACCATTTTACAAGGGTACTCGGTGAGATGGTATCTAATTCTGGTTTTGATTTGTAACTCTCTTATTCCCAGTGATTTCAGGCATTTCTCTATGTGTCTGTTGGCTATCTGAAAGTCTTACTGTGTGAAAAGTATTTCCATGTCTTTTCCCCATTTTGTAATTGAATTATCAGGTTTTTTTCTTGTGGAGGCCCTGTAGTACTCTGTAAACTTTTGTTATGAGGCCCTTGTCTGAGATGGTATTATGAAATGTTTATTCACAATCACTAAGTTTTATTTTCACCCTGTTGTAAAAGTTTTTTTATGCACTCAGGGAATTTATTTATTTATTTATTTATCTATTCATTCATTTATTTACTTATTTAGCACTCAGGGATTTGATCTTTAGGTCTCATCCTTTTTTTTTGCCAATTTTAAGTGCATCTTTATTTGAGACACTGCATTTTCCACTTACAATACAGTGATAATAAAGTGCAATGTTAATTCCTTTCCCTATGCACATTCCATATTCAAGTATTGAGAACTCCCAGAAATTTAGTCTAGCAGTTTAGACTTTTCAACTGCAGTGTGCTATTAATTTGAGTCCTTCAAAATTTAACTGTGGGACAATGAATGCTAAGGTATGCAGATTGGTTCAGTCAACTTCAATAATGGATCCAGAAGGGGCACCACCAGATGAAGGAGCACCACTGCTAGGGAAGCCACTAAGCCCAGTACTCTGGTACAGCTTGGTGATGATGGGGTTGCAGACCTTCTCTATCTCCTTCTGCTGATGCTCAAATTCCTCCTTTTCTGTAGTCTTATTCTTATCAAGCCAGTTGATAATTTCATTGCACTTGTCAAGGGTCTTCTCCTTGTCCTCCTCATTGATCTTGCCTTGAAGCTTTTCATCTTCAACTGTAGCCTTCCTATTAAATGTATAAGATTCAAGGGAATTCTTAGAAGACACCTTGTCTCTTTGCTTCTCATCTTCAGCTTTGTGCTTCTCAGCTTCCTGGACCATTCACTCAATGTCTTCTTTACTCAAGTGGCCCTTATCATTGTTGATGGTAATCTTGTTTTCTTTCCCAGTGCTCTTGTCAACAGCAGAAACATTAAGGATATCATTGGCATCAATATCAAAGGTGATTTCAATCTGAGACACACCATGAGGTAGAGGTGGTATTCCAGTGAGTTCA